GCTTCGTTCGACAAGTCGTTGCGCACGTCTTACGCACGGGCGTTTCCCTTGCTCTTCGTGCGTGGACTGTGTGGACTCGTGTTTTGTTGTTGGGTTCTCCGTTTCTCCTTCGCCGGCTAGGGAAGTTGTCGATAGGAAGAAAGCGATCGACATCAAGACTGCGAAGTGAACCTTGCCTTAACATTCATGGCCGCCCACTTGCTCACTTGCCCGGACAAGTGGCATCCATCGATCAAGCCGTTTTGGTACATTGATACGTGTGCTGGTTCAATGTGAGGTTCGGCGATGACAAACCACAACGAAGCGTTGTGAGTCGCTTTTTGCTCAATCTTCGTGGCGCTATACTCCAAGCGCCCTACCCCAGAACAATCTGCCCTCGTGTTCTTGTGCATGCCCCGCCCTTCTGTCCTGGTGCACTGCAATGCAGCAACATCTACTACATCGTGCAGGAGAATGGTGTGTGGTCAGTCGGGACGATCATCTCAGACTCGAGCGTCTCGGTCATCGGGTTTGCGGAGGACAACAACGTGAGGGAGAGGGGATGAACGAGAGAATACCGTAGACAACAAGTACTCTACAGACATACCATGAGTCTGACCGCCTCCACTTCTTGATAGTGCTCGCTCTTGTTCGTATGGTGTCCCGGGTGAACTGAACATGCACCGCCTCATGGACCTTTCATGAGAAAACCAGAGCCACGGCTAGCTCGACCTACTCGTGTGATGTTTGGTCTACCTCTCATTGTTACATTTGCATAGCCGCACCGGGCGGGATCATGACTGTTGCTGTTGTCTAGATTGGGGTTATCACCGTGCATGTTTTTGATCCACCGTTTGTAACAAGTGTGGCAAACATGGCAAAGCCTGAAGAACTCACGGCACCAGATTCCACCGTAGGTAACGGCGATTTTGAAGGTCATTGTCGGTACGCATTTTCCTGCCCATCTGCGCCAATGATGCATGCAGCGATCAACTTCTTGACCTCTCATGCTTGCCTTGTGTACCCACGCCAACGTGCAATCTTTGGTGGACAGTAATCTCCATTTTTTCCGACGGCGGATACGAGCTGTTGTACACGGGGCCCACAAGGTATCCCATCGGGTTCCGTCGTGCGCAGTGATTCAACATGACCCCTTCGCAAAAGAAAGAGCACGCTCGCCACGCCCTCCCATATTACCTTGGCATGATTCGTCAATGTTTGATGCCGCACGTCGAAAGCTGCCGCTGGTTGATGTCAAACGTCAAGTGCCCGCGGCTCAACAATGTCCAAACCGTTGGTTGATGTTCTCATTGACTAAAAACAGGGCGAGTTGATGGTGATCGATCAGGACTACAACATCTACCATCTGCCCTGCGCCGATATGTGTGCTTCGACGTGCCTGGACCAGTCGGACCAGCAGCCCACCTATGAGGTATTGCTTGCCGTCGCTACGCTTGCGGTTGTTTCGGCGAGAGCGACATACCTGGCTCCATGCTGCGCGTCAACAGCTTGCATAATTTAATCGAGGTTCATGTTTGCCCAACGCTTGTGTGTTGCGTCGCTAGCTCGCCTCTCGACCGTGCAAAAAATAGCTCCGGGTAGGTTCGAAAGCATGGTCGATTGCAAAGATTGTGCTTGTTCGGAAGCGCCCACCCAGACATGTAAGGTGGCGCCGCGTTTTCAGCACACCTTGCGATCACGTAACGTGCTTCTTTCCCCCACCAATTCCTCCCTCCGTTGTACGGTTGCACGTGCTGTAGCTGCAAGAATCACGAACGCATGATGAAATTCGCGTGAACTCGCACACACTGATGATGATGATCATGATGAGAGGCTTTTCCTCGTCGAAACACTGTCCATAGTGCGACTGCATGCCCGAAATCATGCGACTGCGTGCGCCACTAGTCAGCGGTTGTTCTAGGCTCTGAGAACGAGCGTTTGCTTGAAAGGTCGCTTCATCAGGAGTACAGGATACACATGTGGAGTAAAATATACGTTAGAGTGTTTCGCATCCTCAACACGTTACAATTCCCTCCCGCCCCCCCTGCCCTATGCATCATCCAGTCCCTGGGATGCTTCGTCGATGTGCTGGGTGACCGTGCGTTGGAGAACGACGACGCCATTCGCACATGCCTTGTCGACGAAAGAGTCATGAGCCCTGCCGTAAGTTACTCTTGCGGTCTGCTAGGTTGAGAGTTTGCCCTCCGCCATGCTGGCGAATGCCATCATCTCATGCAAAATTTTGTTAGCTGCGGTTTTCTTGGACACTGAAGATGGTGAATTATTTCAAGCGGCAAACCCCGTGTAAAGCTGATACCCCTCTAGGTTTCAACCTCAGAGCACCGTTTTCCTTTCCTTCTACAATGAGAATCGAGCTTGTTGTGGTACACGCGGCAAGCTGGGTGCGTTCACTGGGTCTTCGATTGTCCCTTGGGTGGGTCAGCCTGCTACGCCGGATGTTTACCTCCGTCGGCCTGTTGGAGTTTCAACGTTCTCAAAAGGTCGTGGTGCCGGTCGAAATGGATTTGTACAGTACCTGACAGGAAACAACAACGACTGTCACCTGCCCGCAGGTGCGCTCAAAACACCCCCTGAACCCATCCTGTGGCGACTGACTTCCGGAAGTGCAACTTGCGTTTCTTAGCTGTTAATCCGTTCGTGCCTTCTGAGCAATGACAGCGCCGTTGGACCCAGCGAACATCATGCTGAATGCCCTTGCATTTGAATGACCCCGCCGCAGATTTGTGCATCGTACTGCTACACGCTCGGAGCAACGTACGCTGGGGTGCAGTTTGGGTTCGAGGTGAGGTCATCGCTGGGTCCTTGACAGCCTGGGCCGCTTGACTTTGCATACACCTCTCCTTGATACTCAGGATTACCATGGTGCGGAGGGCTAACCCCGAGGATAGTTGTCATTTCAATTCTCTCTAGCAAATTGACGGTCAGGGTTGTGGCGTGAAGGTTGGTGGATGGACTAGCCACCAGTCTGGTTTGTCTACAGTCCAATACGATCGAAACGGTGGCGTACCTTTTTCCAACGAAGCCAGTTCTTCTGTGGCCTGGCGTTGCAAGCGACATTACCAGGTAGTAGTACATGGTATCGTATCATGGACCAACATCTCAAATCCATCTCACCAACCAGTGGTGCGCTCTGTGCCGTGATCCTACTGCCGCCTTGGAAGATATCGACGGGTTTTCTATTCCCACTACTGTAGATAACCCTCTTACTTCACCTGCTTTCGGAGACGTCGCCTGCCGTTGGGTATTCAGGTTCTCCGCTCGCTCGCATGGAATCGGAATGGCCCCCCTCTGTCTTGAATGTCTTGGTTTGTGAGCATTCTTTCTCCTCGCTAAAAGGTACCGTTCTACCTACCCCCTGCGCCCATATGCTCCGCTCTTGATAATATGCAGTGCTTCTGCGGAGTGGACTCGGACTACAGCAGGCATGGTACCTCGACCACCTGCAACATGGAGTGCACTGGATATCCCTCGGAAAGTTGCGGAGGGTTCTTAAGCATCGAGGTACGCATACTGTCTCCGTGTTGAACTGCCTCCGGAGCCGGACCGGGTTTCATTCTTCTCCTATCTATCCCCCCTCCGGCGGCCTACCTCGTTGACCAATTTAGTCTTCTCAGAGACTTGTTCATCACCCGACGTTGCCGTTTACGTAGTGAAGTTGGCTACCGCCGGGCTACCGGGTATTGAAAATTGGCCCGTAGTATAGCAGAATAAGCAGCAGGCGGTCATGTCTTGTTTGCGGCCTACGCCACCAGTTTATGGAGTGAGACTTTTTCGGTGATGTATTAACTTCACGAGAGGTAGACGACCGTCTTTCACACGGACGAGAGATGGAGTGCTCCGCATGAAAGCTCCTACAGCAAGGAGGGGCCCCGCGAATCATCGCGGTGCCTCCTACCAAACGGCAAACTTACCAATCTCCGTGACACCAAATCATTCAGCACATGTATCCGAAACCAATGTTGGCAGACCCACGAACACCCTCCCTGGTTCTTCACGCAAGTGAAAAACCATCAATGGGGCAAGAACGCCCCCGGATACATCAAATACACCAATATGGCAACATATGGAGGAGAAATCCGGCGTCTGGGCAAAACCCCTCAAGGAAAACCCTACTACCACAAAAAACCGTCGCTATCACGGTGGATCACAACGGCCGCACTTGTTAGAAAGGCCAAGGCGAAGACAAGAACGCGAGGAACTATGTTCCCCCGGACGATGGTCTCCCAACGCCCCCTACTCTTGCCATTGGTACACAGACCGCGACAGTTATATGCCTTTCCCCGCATGATGAACATGACCTCTCCCAAGTGCTAAAAACTGCTACAGCTACCGGAAAATTCATCAACCTACGCCGATGGTACTTCAGACTTGCCCTGCTAAAGGCCTTGGTTAAGAGGCCCGCGTGTTGCTCCGTTGTCAGAACAAATTTGACCGAAATATCCCCCGACCTAAACAATCCGCGGATGGAATGAAACTTCACGTCGATGTGTTTCGTGCGACCTGAACTGAGGGGGTTCTGCACCAACGCCATGGCCCCCGGGTTGTCCTTCCTGGATGCTGCTACCACTGGTCTCTGGGGCAACAAACGAAATCACAGCACGCACAAGCGACGCCTCCTTGACGCCCTCGCCGGCAGTAATATATTCGGCTTCCGTCGAAGTCAATGGCACCATGCTCCGTGTCTTGCTACCATGGCTGATTACGGTACCTCCAACCGTCGTCGCCAACCCTGACACCGAACGCTTATCCTCCGTGTCGGCTTAGCTACATACACGGCCAGCCCCCGATCCCCGTTGGTAGGTGATGCCGAGGTCCCTCGTCTCCTTCAAGTAGCCGAGGATCTTCTGGATGGCATCCCAGTGCCTCTTCGCCGGGGTGTGGGCGTGGCGCGCTACCGCACGCACGGCGAGCAAGACCGCTAGAATGACACCCACATCATGCTGCCGATGGCCTCCCTCACCGGCCACTCCCCTCCCTCCTCGTCATCTCGCTTCGGTCCTATGGGGGATTCACTTAGCTCGTGGGACGCCAGAGTCGTCTCAAAGGCGTCTGGCGAGTTGAGCATGAGGTCCACCGCACCCAGCAGGAAGTCCTCCGCCTCTTGGCGCGCAGCGTGGGCCTCCTCCGCGCGCTCGGACAGCAACTCTCGCACCACCCTCGCCTCTAGCCCTTCCGCCACGTGAAGGACCGCCGAGAGTATCCAGCTGGTGAACTCCTTCGTGCTGCTGACGGGCTGGCTCGCCATCGAGGCGAGCAGGGCTTCGGCACTTGTCGACGACGGGGGCGACTCGTGCCTCGGTTTCGGCGAGGGTTCTCCCTGGTGCGGCGGCTGGTGAGCTCCGCCGGCTTGTCGAAGTGGGCGAGCCGCCGGGCCTCTGGCCCGCGGAGCGCCTGGAGATCCGTCTCGCTGTCGCTGTCGCTGTCGCTGTCGCTGTCGCTGCCGCTGCCGCTGTTACTGCCGCTGTCGCTGCTGCTGTTGCTGCTGCTGCGGCGGTCGTCGCCGCCGCCGCCCACATCGGCCATGCCGGCCGACGTGGTAGATGGGGCGACGCTCGCGCCCTCCCTGCTCGAGGGGCGCTATCGCCGTCGTCGCACGCGCCCTGGGGCGCGGCCGGCGGGGCCGCCGGCGCTACGCGCGCGGGCTGCCCCGCGGGCCCCGGGGCTGCCGTCATGCCAAGGTTGAAACCTGGTCCTCCATTCACAGGTTCTCTCTCCGGTCTCCCTTCACCTTGTCTCGACGCGCACTCCCCGTCCTCGTCCTCCTCAGTCGTGAACTCATCGTCCTCCTCTGCGATGGGAGGCAGCGGGGTACCAGGTAAAGTTGCGAGTTGTGATCGCTTGGCGAATTTCGTTCAGGATGCGCACGTAATCACGGTTGGTGTTGATTCCCGGGCAGAGGTAAAAACACTGTTGGGCTTTCGGCTCGGACTTGCGTGTGCGCTTGACCTTGTATTTGGCAAGTTTGAGGAACGGGTACGTCGCCCCCGGCGGGAGAGGGTGCCCGTGCCACATCTCGTACGGCGACTTCTTCTCTGGGTTGGATGTGGTGGAGGTGCAGTTCAGGGCGTTGCATGCCCAAGCTATGGCCTCGGCCCAAAGGTAGGGGTAGTTCGGTGCGTCGGGGTAGAGAGTTGGTGTTTGGATACGGGCGGCTAGCGCTGCATCCTTGATCAGACCCGGTGCTCTCTCAGCTACACCGTTGTATTCTGGGCTGTGTGCGGGGGCGAACTCTTGTTTGATGCAGTACTTCCGGCACACCTTGCCGAACTCTCCCTAAAAAAACTCTCTTCAATTGTCAGATCTCATGACCATGAGATCGGACGGGGCACCGTCTGCCCGGTTTTCTGCAGGGGACCTCTCGAATGCTTCAGCGGCGTCTGATTTGTGCTTCAGGGAATAGACGCGGTTCCACCTTGTGTAATCATCCTTGAAANGTTTGAGGAACGGGTACGTCGCCCCCGGCGGGAGAGGGTGCCCGTGCCACATCTCGTAAGGCGACTTCTTCTCTGGGTTGGATGTGGTGGAGGTGCAGTTCAGGGCGTTGCATGACCAAGCTATGGCCTCGGCCCAAAGGGATGGGTAGTTCGGTGCTCCGGGGTAAAGAGTTGGCGCTTGGATACGGGCGGCTAGTGCTGCATCCTTGATCAGACCCAGTGCTCTCTCAGCTACACCGTTGTATTCTGGGCTGTGCGCGGGGGTGAACTCCTGTTTGATGCAGTACTTCCGGCACACCCTGCCGAACTTTCCCTCAAAGAACTCTCCTCCGTTGTCAGATCTCACGACCATGACATCGGACGGGGCACCGTTTGCCCGGTTTTCGGCAAGGTATCTCTCGAATGCCTCAGCTGCGTCTGATTTGTGCTTCAGGAAATAGACACGGTTCCACCTTGTGTAATCATCCTTGACAATGAGAGTGTACCACTTTCCCCCCAAGCTCTGCACCCTAGCTTCTCCACTCAAATCCACGAAAACTCGCTGCAGTTTTTTAGCTGCTCGGGTCGACGGNACCCGGTGCTCTCTCAGCTACACCGTTGTATTCTGGGCTGTGTGCGGGGGCGAACTCTTGTTTGATGCAGTACTTCCGGCACACCCTGCCGAACNGCGGCGTCTGATTTGTGCTTCAGGGAATAGACGCGGTTCCACCTTGTGTAATCATCCTTGACAATGAGAGTGTACCACTTTCCCCCCAAGCTCTGCACCCTAGCTTCTCCACTCAAATCCACGAAAACTCGCTGCAGTTTTTTAGCTGCTCGGGTCGACGGCTTGTTGGGGATGGGCTTGGAAAGCCCCTTCGCCGTCGAGCACCCCAGGCACTCCCGGAGCTCGCCCACTAGCGTCGTCCCCTGCAGCTTCGCCGTGGTCCTCAGCAGCACCTCGTGGGAATGGCCGTGCACGCAGTGGAAATCGTTGATGTCAACGTTGTAGTCTTGTCGAGGAACGTGTGCAACCCGTTCCAACGACAGGTCTGTTGTCCCGTCGCGCGAGCTAAGGGTCACAGTGACGTCGCCGTACCCCACGATGGGGAAAAGGGTTTCTCCGGCGGCGACGCGCACACGTCGATCACCCTCCTGATATCGGACGAACCCATCTGAGTTCGCGACCATGTGTGTGGTAGCGCCGGCATCGGCAACATACCCACTCCGCCTAGCCTGCTCTATACCCCGTCGACCAACGACTCTGTGACATTCGCCTGAGTTGTCATCGACCACCAGCGCCTCTGCTGCCACGTCCAGTGCTGTGGCGTCCGCAGACGCCCCCCCTGCCGGCACTTCCACCACGAGCACCGCCTCCTCGGTCGGGCACTTGCTCTTGTCGTGCCCGTAGCCCTTGCATGTCTCACATCGCAGGGACTCGGTGCAGTCGGCCACCTTGTGGCCCTTCTTGCCGCACCAGAAACAGCGACCGCGCATGCTACCCGCGTTGTCGTCGCCGCCTCCGCCGCCGCCACCAACCTTCGCGCCGCCCCCTCTCCCCTTCTGGTTGCCGCCGCCGCTGCCGCCGCCGCCGCCACCTTGCGGCGGCCGCTATTGCCGCGGCCCGGCGCTCCTCCTCCGCCGCTACCGTCGCTCGCGAAGAGAGCATCGTCCGCCCTCCGCTGGCCCTTCGAGGCCTTCCTCCCCTCCGGGAGGCTCGCGTGCACCGTGCTCACGATCCTAACGATCTCGGCCTTATCCAGCGCCGTTGCTGTCTCCAACAGGAACTTCGCTTGTTGGTACTCGGGTGGGAGGGAAGCAACGAAGTGGGCGAGTACAAAGGGTGCGTCAGTGTGGAGCCCTTTTTCGCGTAGGCGTGAGTACAGCAGCTCGAGCGAGTATAGGTGCTCGATGGGGTTTCTGCTGCTGTGTATGGGGATCATGAAGTTGAACATTTGCTTCACGAGGGCTTGTTTCGAGCCCTGCGATTCCGGGTTGTAGATTTTGTCGAGTTCCGCGAGGATCTCTTTTGCGGTCTCACATTTGTTCACGATCGCCTTGTCGGCTTCTCTGACGATGGCATTGGTCACAAAATGGAACTTTTGGAGGCCCCGCTGGACCTCGTCGCTCGTGTATTCGAGGCGTTACGGCTCCGAGCTTGGCACGTTTGGATTGCCGACGGGTGCATGTCTCTCGTTGCTGCCCATCAATTTCCCGTCAAGTCCTACAGTTTTTGGCCGCTTGTATAAGCATCTACCTCCACGAGTCATACCCATGGCCGCGACTCGCCCCTTCGAGACGCGGGGCATTGACTGTTACTCTCTTCATGTGGCTACTGTTGTAGCCATCGAGGAATTCTCCATTGCCTCGAAATCACGGGTATCTCACCTGGGGGGATCAACCCCCTCGCTTCCCCGTAGTCCGGTCCTATGCCCGGGCCCACTCCGGCTGGTCTCGCAGGATTCGCTCCCGATCTACTGGGCCAGTCACCTTCCAGCAGCTGACGTGTTTCTTGTCCACCATCTCTTGCTTGCTGGAGAAATCCCTCGCCTCCGCCGAGCGGCTGCGTGGGTTGATCCTCCAGTGGCGGCAACCCGGCCACCCCTACTGGATGCATCCGCCACGACACCTCGAAGCTCCTTCTTTGTCGACTCCTCCATCAGGGCCGCCAGTCACGAAACCTGCAGTTGCAAACTTGCAAGCTCCGCATCGCGCCCCCCCTGCACTGCCGTGCGAGTCTGTTCCTCGCTGCCGGCGGTGGGCTCCTCGTCTCCGGCAGAGCTCATCCCACTGTGGCTCCCCTCGAGGGGCATAGACTGTTTGCGGCCTGCACCACTTTTTCATCGAGTGAAACTGCTTCGGTGATGTATTAACTTCACGAGAGGTAGACCGTCCTTCACACGGACGAAAGGGGGAGTGCTTCGCATGGCAGCTCCTTGTAAGCAATGAGGGGCCCCGTGAATCATTGCGTTTCCTCCTACCAACGGCAATCTTACAAATCTGCACCAAATCATTACAGCACATGCATCCAACACCAATCTTCGCAGACCCAAAAACATGTCTCGAACGCTTGGTCCCCGCCTTGAGTGTGTGTGTTTTCCGTATGGTTTTGCAGGCGGGACAGACAATAAACGGCACGTGTGCTGTCTGAGTTCTCCAATGTGTGCTAGGTACCAAATGCCTTTGAAACACGGCTTGCGGTTTCCAAGGCGATATCGTACCTAGCGTACCAAGTAAGTCGCGATGGGCAGTTTCGATGTTTCGGCCAGATCGCGTGGGTTCGTCCCTCCCTCCCTTGTTACGGAAACGTCCAGGTACACGGTTTGATCCGTGCCACTGAGGGTATCCGAACAGGGGAATCAACTCATTGCATTGCTAGTGCCTGCGTCGCCCTGTAGCTGGCAGTGTTTCCTGTAGTACATCAAACATCAACCGTTGTCCCTGTTGCCGCCATGAAAACAATGAAACAGCCCATACACTCCCACCATGTGTGGACTCCATCAGACTGTTGTTGAGTACAGTACCAGTGGCCGAGCTTCGCGTTGGTTTCCTCCAACGTACATGTACATCGCCCGCACAATACTGTACAGGTCTACGAGCTCGGAGAACCGGAGGCGTCGGATTCGTCTGCGCTATTGCTGGCGGGAGGTCCAACGCCTGTAGGTCCCACGCCCTATGTTGAAGACGCTGCAGATTCCTCGTCCGCATCGTGCACTGCTTCCCCTGGCGCTGGCGGCCCTCTGAAGATGATACTGCTGTCCTTCGTAGGGTTGGTGTTCATGTTTGTTGCTCTGTAAGTGTGGGCTACCGTGACGAGAGGGAAATTGGTGTTGGCGTGGAATGATTCAGCTAAAGGTGAGTCGACCTCGACCGAGGAGCGGTATTGAAGTTTGTTCTTCCAAGTGGTGATGAGTACGCACGCATGGTTTTGTGCGGGTCATGATGTCTGTCGCAAAGAAAATGATTCTATTCCATCGCAACTCAACGGAACGAGAGTGACCTGGGCTACAAGCCATTCGGATTCAGGTCGAACAGCGTGGAGACGAAGGGTGGGTGGGTTAGGGAATCGGAAGATTTTGTCAAGCGGAAGTATCGAGAAGGGCAGGTCGAGAGAGCAAAGAGCATCATATTTTTTTTGTCGGTCCTCTGAATGTAGTCTATTGTTCAAAGCACCCTAGCACACTCATTGTTGTGGTTGTTGTCGTCGTCGTCTTCTTGTCGTTGTTTCCGGAGTTGTAGGTTGTTTTTGTTGCTACTGTTGTTGCTCTGTAGTTATAAATTGTTTGTTGCGACTGCGATGTTGCTGCTGTTGTAATTGTGATCTTCATTGCTAATTGACATTCCATTCCAACAAATCAAGTTTGATGAGAAGGGGGTTGATGGTGATGTGAGGAAGTAAATGATTCCGTGTTGAATATTTCTTTCTCACGTGCTGTATGTGTCATTCGGATTATGGTAAGGACGCCTGTGGATGAGGTGCAGAGGACAGGAGTAAGCATCATAGTGTTGATATGGTTGTTTGGGTAGGATCAGTGCAATAACAGGGGAGTATTGGATTGCCTTGCGCCTCGAACTCCCCGTTTCAGTCTATGCATACGTAGCTCGATAGGATTCCTTTGGGGACATTTTAGCATGGCACACGGATGATGAATATTGTGGTATGGTTCCACGGGTCCACCGCTTTTACAACATGTGAGCAGAATGTTGCGAAAAAAGTCGAAGTTTCCACACTTTTCTCGAAACATTCTCGTGTACCGTAAGAATTCGTGTGATGGCACACCCATCGTTGATTTCGCACCCATCGTTGTCATGGCACCGGGTTGCCCAAAAAGCAAGAACGGCATAATTTAGTTGCATCTCCGCACCGGTATCGGTGTGAACGCACCCGGTGCGATACATACCAACGATATGAAGTAAATCTGGTCGTCAGGACGCAAAATCAGTGCTTCTTCAAGGTACCGGCACCCTCAAGGCCACGTTTTGAACTGCATGTAAGGAGCGGCTGTGAGGGTGCTGGCATCAACCGGGGCGCCATTCCATTGTGTTTGTATATGGTTCCGTCGACGTGTGCACGTAAAAAAGATTCAAGAATGGCCACACACTGATTTCTTCCGTATCGCACCCATAGCTTCCATCGCACCGGGGGTGCGTTGGAAATAAACAACATATTCGCCTGATTGAGAGCGAAGTATTTGATTGAGAGCGAGAGCCAAAAAAATTGAAATTTCGGGTCCAGACGCCTCTTGCCATTTCTTGGCAAGTAGGGGACGGGCTATTCCAAGAAGCGGTGCAAATTGAAGGTCTCATCAGCAGCTTCGCGAGCATATGCGTGTCATCGTCATCGGATGCTGCAGCGAGGAGCTAGACAAGTTGCTAGATTTGCCCAGATTGGCTATTTCTGCTCAAACTGTTTCAGGGCGGTATCGCGTCGGGCGGTGGGCTCTGCTGTAGCTTCTGCTCCCCGCTGTAGCTCCACAACGAGAGACTCCCACAGGATGACCAGGGTAGCGGCTTGAAGCTACGGGCTAGCCCTTCAATTCAAGCTACACAGCAAGCTCCACCTCTCAGTGGTAGTCCGGCTACAGCGTATCGCGCAATCTCGCTCTCAATCAGATGCTACGCTCTCAATCAGGCGAATATGTTGTCAATAGTGGAATACCAAAAAAGGTGTATATGACTTAGGGGGTAATAAGAAATATATGGTCATATGTTTAACATTTTACAAATTTTGTGGCCGATAAGGTGATATATTACATGTATTACGTCACTTCCTGAACGATCGTAAATATGATCATATCTATTACATCAGGTCAACATCGCCTACCGTATGATCTTGTTTATTAGAGTAAACCCGGGTATCAAGGAACCCCCCCCCCATTGAGGAACACCTTTCTTGAGAGAAGTAACCAGAAACGGGTACACCCGGATAGATTATCACCATTTCAGGGTACACTTGGAAATCAAGACGACTCCAATCTTCGACAGATCCGCCGTAGATCGCGGTGAAACCAATAAACCGCTGTCTGTGTCCTGTGTCCTGTGCCTCGGAAGCATGATGCAGGAGGCAGGTCGTGCCCGTTCTTCTCTCTCTCTGTGCCTCTCTCTATCCTTTTACTAACACTGGATTATACTTGTTAAGACTTTTTTTTTAATGAGAAAATGTTTGGGCATGTTGGCGCACCAAATGTGCCAAATAATTTATTTTCGCTCCAACGAAAACCATCCTCGGGCGTCCACCAAATCGAACACACGCCCTTTCGCCGGCGCTAACACCATTGGCAACGCCGAAAATCAAGATAGTTCCGCCGCCAAGGACCCCAAACCGCATCCTCCTTCAACACCCCCCCCCCTACCCCCCGGGCAGACACAGACTTGTTACGAGTTCTTACAAGTGTTTTCCGGTGGATTCCCAATTGCCCGGAACATCTGCAGCGAGATAGATACCCTGACGCACTAGCAAACAAAAAAATCCGAGCACACGGCACTTCGAGGATTATGTTACTTTGATGGAAAGACCACAGCCCCTACTACAATATTAGGGTACAATGCTCGACTTTGACAAAATGTCGACCATCGGCCACCGCTAAAACCGCTAGTACAAATCTTCTTCATCCCCAGAGCGCCCCCGTCTCGACATCAACCTAGACCATGCTAGGCGCCAATACTACTCTGAACCATAGCCGTCGTCATCGGACTCATCTTCCTCAGAGTTCGCTTCCTCAGCCGACTCTTCAGACCCGTCGTCGTCCGAGTCACTGGCTTCGCTCTTCGAGGACGACGAAGGTGCAGGCCGGCAAGTCTCCATCAGCACTTTCTTAATTCTCGCCGGGATGTTGCCCGTTGAAGTTAGCGAACTGCAACATACTATAATGCGTTTGATAGCCTCGTCGCTGGCATCAGGCGTTCTGCGCTTCGCGCCGCTCGTTTGGATGAAATCCTTGCTGAAACGCGCCACGGCATAGTCCTCGACAGTCGCGCTGCCCGCTCCCGCCCTAACGGTATTTTTGATAGGCCCATACCAGTGGATGTTGACGTTCACCGGCGAGGCGTCTGCAGCTATGCTCAGAACCTCCCCCAGCACAAACGGAGCTTCCTCTGCGTTGAAGAATGCGATGTCGCCGACGCTGGGTGGTGCTAGCGACGTTGGACGCACTGGGTTTGGGGCCTTTCTCTTAGAGGGCTCTGATACCCCGTTCACCCGAGAGGGTGGGTTGCCCACTCCGTCCGCGGTCGCGCCCGTAGAGGGGGGCCAAGTCGCTGGCGGGATCGACGTGTGGAGCCGTTCCATTGGGAGGTCTACGTTCTTGATCGTCCCGCCGGAGCGCAACAACTTGAGCTAGTCGCTCTGCTCAGCCAATAGAGCGTCGACCACACCGTCAGGAGCTGCACATAATGTGAGGTTCATGGAGGGACACGCAAGCAAGGGCACGATGAGATGGAAGTAGCAACGTTTACAAGTACGTAGATGTTGTGGGTCATGAGGTCCCCGAGACGTGAAAAAGTACTTTGCGAAGAAAATCGTACGATACTTAGACCAAACATCCCGCGAATTGACTCGTTGTTGTCCTCAGAGCGACCGTAGCTCCGAATGGGTTTTCTTCGTTGTCAGAATGGTTTAGCCAGGAAGGTAACGCCAATGTTATATTCGAAAGGTGTAACCACTCTCATGCTCTGTGAGGCCAAGCGAAGCACGGCCGTACTACTTCGAAGTACGTGCACATGTGCACGCCCCTTACCTAGAGCGTAGGCAGCCTCTAGACGGGGCCGCGTCGCAATGTAGCGCTTCTCGATGAGGGCGATCACGGTGGGGTCGGCCGTCTTGAGCTTACAAGGAAGCAGGTTGAACGGAAGCACGTTGTCAAAACTCGGCGCAGCGAACCGGAAGAGACGGTATGGGATGGCGTCGACCCGGGCCCCGCCGGTCGCTGTCAGACCTAGCCAGGCATCGCTGTGCATGAAGCGCTTGACCCACACGGAAACCTCCCCTGCTACCTTCCCCACTCGGAAGGCCCGAAACGTGGCGATGTTCCGGATCTTCCGAAGGTTGAGCTTGTTGTCGGCGAGATAGAGCCCCTTCAAGTTGCCGAGGTTGGTCAGAATCCCGACGTGTACCGGAAGCTCCTTGTACGACTCCCGGAAAAGCTCACCAAGTTGAATCTTCGTGAAGATGCTTCGACCGAGGGTACCCACGAAAAGCCTGTAGGTTTGAGTGGGAGTCGTCAGGGCGCAGAGCTCAACCAGGACCACGAAGAAAGAAACACCCCAATCAGATATTGCGAGCAGGACCGCTCCACCCCCATGGGAAACGAAGTTCAGTAGGGCGAGGGTGAAAATATATACGGCCGTCGAACTCCAGTACCCACCCCTACCCCTATGTGGGTAAGAGTTTTTGTTGTATCGGGCATGGTTGGCTGTCTTGGATGCCAGATACGCAAGAACCCACCGCAGGTTGCCTCGTTAGACTCGAGGGCGAATGGTGGCTGGAACGTGGACGTGGGCAATTGTTTTTGGGGTTGTTTACACGGTAACCCTCAATATCCCGCAAGGCCCCAAATAAATAAGAACTGCCCAAACAAGCTCAGCAACGAGGCTTGGATTTCGGCCGACAATAGGAAATCGAGGCTCGCCCGATATCTTACTTGCGGGCGCGTTGTGTAATGTAAATCTTGGGTTTCATGGGTGGACGATATTGAATGCTGAAAAACCGGGGGGTACGCCCAGAATCGATCCTCCACCGGGGGGGGGGCGGTCAGGGTGGCCAAACAAGGGGCTCCGATGTTACAAGGGTACTCACCGAGAAAACACCTGGTCGATTTTGATGTGCGTGTGCCCCAATATCAGGAAGCAGACCTCTGCAAAACCGATCACCCCGGCGGCGACCAATCCGCCAATGAAGGCCATGACGATGTTGTTCTTGTTTTCGCCGACGCAGTTATCGAGCTGGAGGTGGCGACGCTTGATGTGGAACCTCTCGCCAGGCTTGGTCCACATTGCAGACAGTCGTTTGAGGGCCAACCACAGCGTCGTGCACTCGAGGTTGCTCCCTGGAAGACCAGACAAAGACGAAAACATGAATAACGAGCGGACGGTACAGGAGAATTAGGGCCCGCACCGCCCCTGTTTCGCTAGTGATTCATCTGTGCACAATGGCTGGCTCAGGGACCTTGTGCGGTTTCGCCTGACACGTCTTGATGGCACTGATAGCTAGGTTGCACATATTCACGGCGCCCTTGGAACTTCAAAGTGGTCCATCGGGTGACCAGCTGTGTACTTGAGGCCTTCCTGCGACACCCGCACATAAGGCAACTGCCACGAGGAGTGCCTTGATGCAGGTTTAAAGCCTCTCACCTCCACCTGTTGTCTGCGGGACGAAATGGACGTCCACGAACGCCCCTTCTGCCTGGACGCCCATGACGCTCTGCCGTTCCGAAAAGCCGCTGAAGTCGTGAACGCGAACGGTTGTGCAGGAAGGCGAGAATATAATTGAGTAGTCGTCTCGAGAAACAACGTCCCGGCCTCCCTATCCAGAACCTGCTTCTGTCACATTATCTCTGCCATAATCCAGTTCACGGTCAATGCCCGTTGGCATCACCTAACGTACATCAATAGAGGTATCAGCTACAAGTACTTCGTTCTCAAAAATTATGAACCCGAAAGGTCAGTACATCGTTAAAATAAGGTGAAAGAAAGAAAGATGAGAATAAGAGCAAACTTTGAGTTAGGGTTAGGGTTAGGGTTAGGGTTAGGGTTAGGGTTAGGGTTAGGGTTATAGCTAGGGTTAAAGTTAGGGTTAGGGTTAGGGTTAGGGTTAGGGTTAGGGTTAGGG